ATCCTTATCCCCCCCCCCATTGACAAAATTATTTAACTGGCACTGATTGACCCCATGACCCCACCCCTTTCAGTAAATGGTAAAAATACAACATTGAATACCGGGATAAAACTGAAAAAGAAATTGTAGTCAAAACTGAAACTGAAAAACAAATAAATGAAACCAAAATCAAAACCGACATTGTTATCGGTTTCAAACTATAGTTTTGAATTTGAAATTTAAAAATTTTACTATTGATTTTGAAGGATAAAAAATTAATAATCTTTTGATACTTAAATAAACGGTAGGGAAAAAAAATTATTATTGAGGTCTTGTAGTTTTAAAACAGACGCAACTAAAGTACAGAAAGACTATACTGGTTTTTCGTGTCGTCATCACTATATAATTACTAATAATTATTTCTATCATTTAAATAATTACATACGATTAATGATTATGGCATACGACTAGGTATTGTATAGTTACGAATAAATAATTTAACGATTTTTTGATATTCAGTTTTTGTAAGAGAATTTCGATATTGAAAAAAAAAATTCGCAAAATATTCGTATACACATATGTCTATAATGTCCGCGGATATCATGTTTACCTATTTAATTCCCATTAAAAAAATTCTGGGACGAAAATGAAATACATCATTAGGGAAATAAAATCCGCTCGTTCTGTGCTCAGAGTTTTAAAAGTTAAATTAAATAACATTTCAATAAGTATTTTTTTTTTTACGGCTTTTAGTACGCTCGAATTAAAAGGCTATTAAAATTCATTACCGTCACTTAAAACACGCAAAAACGAGAAAGTAAAAAACGTCAGGCGTTTCGCTCGCATCAGTCGCTTAATTCCGTAGTTATTTTAATTTTATACCGTGAAAACTCGAAAAGTTTATAATATTATTATACTTACAGCCGTTATGACGTCACTGTTACGATAATATGCGGCGATGCACACAAATCGGATTCTTCGAATTCTGAGCATTTTATACAAAGACTTATTATAAGTGTTATAATTGTATTGAAAAGGACCGACCGTCCGAGAATAGACCAATCAGAATTACGAATTACGTATTATTACACCCATTAAGTGTAAGCGAATAAAAGGCCTCATCATCGCTAACATTTTGTTTTCTCTGTCCGTATCGCGCGTGATACGGCAACACAAGGGCATTCCGTATTTTCACTATTGCGTCAGTTCAATTTTGGGCATTTATATTTTAAAAAAACGAGAGTACTTAATGTGAATAAAGTTACGAATGGAGTTTTTTTAAAAAAATATTTTCATTTTTTAATTAGTTATCATAACAGTTGAAATTAAAATACGCGCATCTCGATAAAAAATTAAAATAGAAAAAAAAAATAATTTGTAAAATCCACAATGTAAATACTTTGTAAAATGTATAATTATAGTCTCTCTGATCTAAACTCGACCAGAGTGTCGTAATTAAATTAAATAAAGAGCGAAAATGGTAGAGTGGTTTAAAAGTTTCCCATCGGCCGTTTCCATTCCAATCAAATAAAATTGTCTAACACTAAAAAAATATTAACATAAAGTATTTATTTTTTTTTTTTTATTATTTCTAAAATTGTGTTTGAAAAAAATTATTTGTGTCAATCGTTTTTGTAGCGTTATAAAATCATTTTTAACAATTTCAAGCCACCAGACAGAGTAACTTACCACTTACTTAACTTATACTTAGAGAATATACCTCTCTACTATTTTTGATTTTAAAAATATTTTTAAGTGATTTTTTAGAGTTTTTTGACGCTTTTAAGCATTTTTTCGTGGATTTAATGTGCGTTTAAATCCGTTCCCTACTTTTACCATTGTCTACGACGTGTCAATAGTCACTATATTAGTTTACAGTGGCTGAAGACGAGAATCATGTCTAAAGTAAATGTAATCCATATGCATCGAATTTTTATAGCGCAATAAAAATGTAAAAATTACGCCAATTATCGAACGTGGTGTATTTCGTTTTCGTACACATCACTCGTACGTACAATACGAAATTAATATTTATTGTATTATAATATTAATAATTAGCATAACAGATAAGTATCATCAGCTCAGTTCGGCTGCTCTAACAGTATATAATATGTAAGTACGATGAAATTGTGATCGATACAATAATTATTGCAGTGTTATACATAAATCTTTTAAATACAATTAAAACGTTCCGAGGAAAAATTACGCGCGCGCAACTATTATTCTGTAACGATTTTTAAACGATTCGACAATGACGACGGTAAATTATTTTCGATAATAAAAAAAATTATATTATAAGGACACTGCAACTTATCACTATTATATTACAATATTATGCGACGGTTTTATTATTATTTTGATAAAATCAAATTTTCAGATATTTTTTTCAAACGGACCGAAAATATAAAACCGTGAATTCGATATAATATTACAGTTTCGAATCGTATTTACATATTGTATAATACTTGCAACAAAAAAAAAAAAAAAAACCGTTAATTCGACAAAACCGACGATTATTTGCCAAAAATAAAAACAGAACTTTATTGCGCGAGGACGCGGTAAATCCGTTTTCCCGTAAATTGGTCGGTAGGTTTTGATCATGATAAAAAAAAAATAATAATAATAAAGTAGGTATTTCTAATGGGTGTGCCACTGTTGTTGGAGGGCAATTGAAAAGGTATAGGCGGGATACATAGAAACCATAAAGTTATTTAATTTATGTCTGTACTCAACGATTCTAAAGAAGGTCGGTTAAAACTCAATTTTTTTCCACTTTTTTTAAAACTTATAACGAAGCTCGTATAAAATTTGCAAGCATTTCTATTCGGTCAATTATATCCGCATAATATCAAGGATAGAAAATGTTTTTACATATTTCGTTTTATTTATTTTTTTCGTTTAATTACGTATTTTAAAAACGTTTTCCATCCATGTATAAAACTAAATAAAAACTAAAATAAAATCCCCGAAAACGTCAAACAGCAATAAATAGTTCGAAAATTATCATAATGTTTAGAAAATTTTACCAAAAAAAAAAAGGCTAAAACAAAAACGTTGTCGAAATTTCAGATCTCTAAGAATATTTTTAACAGGATTGCAAAAAAAAAACTAAATGAAAAATAATGAATCCGTCAGTAGCGTAAACTTTCCCATTTTTCTTTTCGGGTTTTCTCCAGTTATTTCGACAATTACTAGGAAAATCAATAAACGACCGTTCCGACCCACCAACAAGATCCAAAACGCTACAAAAAAACTCTCGTCAGTTTATTATTTTTTATAATCCGAGCAAGATTTTTGGTGGAAAAGTTGTTAATAAGAATATGTATACTCGCATGGTGGCGTCTCCGTCTTACAACCGTGCGACACGGCAAATTTTCGTTCGGCAAAGACAACCTTTTGCTGTTCGATTGAATGTTGGAGAAAATCGCCTTGTCGGCCAATTTTTAAAATATAACAATATTATCTGTGCGTGGCGTCGAGTTTTTTTTTCGTTATTTTAGCTTTAGAACGAGAAATAATCATTTTAAATTTTAGATTCCGAGATTTACTAAGATGTTTATTTTTTTCTTTCTTTCTATATTCTAGTCTGTGGACACGTTTTTTCTTAATAAATTTGCTCTGATTTTCACGTATAGCATCTTTTCGGAAAGTCAATTTGATCTTCTTGGTGAATGCACAGCTGATTTTTTCATTTTTGGAACGGTATTTAATATAAAAACGATTAATCGGGTAAAAAATACGATTTTTATTTACGAATTATTAATCTTGTTTTTAATGATGCAGTTCGTTTTTTTTTTTGATTTTCGAGTTGGTTTTCATAATAAATTTCGGGAAAAAACGTATGAAAAACGTAAAATTTCATGGTATCATTATTTTATATTATCACGGAAAACGTTTATTATTAGGAAAAGTGCTTTAATCGAAAAACGACAAGAAAACATTTTTTGTTTCATTGTATTTGTTTTTAATAAGCTTTTTGAAATCAAATTTAAACGAAAATCGCAGAAAAAAATTACGGCACTTTAAATTACGGCTTAACGAACTGAGCTTGGAATTGTCTTTCGTCAGGAATCGTTGCTATCGTTATCGTTGCTTACATATATAAATGAAATGACCTTATGTATCCTACCTACCCAACTTTCCACTTACAACAGTGGCTGCGCCCGATCCCAGTATCATCTTTTTTTTTTTTTTGTAAGTTTAAATTTAAACACGGCACAGATAATGTTCGTGTCTTTACGTTTGACGGTAAGCCGATTCACCCTGACGTATTGAAACCGACAACAGCGCAGAGTTTGTCCCTGCCGCGCGATAATTCGCCGCGTCGCGCGGTCGTAAAACGGAGACACAGCACGGGTTCGGGTTTATCATTTATATAGTGAAACCGATCGATCGGTCGCCGCGGTCGGGATCGGCGCGTGCAAAATCGAACTCGTCGTATCCGCTGCATCCGTTTGCACAATAACCTCACCGGACCCGATTTTTCGCAGCGAAAACTGCTCCCCACCACCGCCCCTCAGCCCTCGCCGTTCCGCTAAAAGCGCGTTTATCCGCGATTAAAACTCAAAGTGTGGATTTCGCGGACGGAAAAAAAAAACCCGGAATAAGATAAATACAAAGCCCGTCTCCTCCCTCAACCCCCCCCCCAGCCAATCGTGAGTGCGAGAAGTGAGCGCGATAAAATCGAAACGACGGCGACGGCGGACGGGGAATCGTTTCGACTCGGCCGAGCTCCGTCAGAAAAACGGGCGAAAAAGATCGCGGACCGGGAGGGGGGGGGGAGAAAAAAAAACCCCGTCCGGCGACGACGACGACGACAAAGCCGGGGACCTGTTGATCCGCACATCGCATGACATTGCGAGATAAACGCCTCGCAGTGCCGTAATACTTACGCGGCGACTCCCGGGGGTTAATATAAAACTAATCATTTTAATTTTTTTTAATTCGGTTTTTTTCCCCGCACGCACGCGGTCCGTCGGTACGGTAATCGGAAGCGATATTACAATAATTATCATAATATTTTACACGGGGCCGCCGCCGTCGCGGCGCTTACAAACACGCCGACCGGCCCCGACGACGGCGGCTGTTCGCGTAACACTCGCCGCGTGTGACGCGCCGCCGTGTGTGACCCGCTGTGGCTCGGTGCGGAAACGGCCGGTGTCGGCTTTGTGAAAAAGTCCGTCAGAATAGCAAATGAAAAAATGTACGCGGTTTGTCAATTTCTACACGAAAATCGTTTAAGTCTTGGTGAAAACGTTGAACATCACACAACAATGTACGTACCCGAAGAAAATACACCAGTCTTTATGGAGTTTTAACGTTTCCAAAGCCCATTTTCCAGCCAATCGCAAATTGAGACGAGACGTCGGCCCTTCTTGCACCAATCCACAGATGTATTATATTTTTTGGCGGTAAACGTCGGGAGATCGGTCAATGCCGTTACGCTTACATATTAACCTAATTAGTGCCGTCAACTTTTATATTAAAGTATATTTGGCCTATTATCAAACTTAAATGTAAAAAGGGATCGTTTTTGTTCGTTTATACGTTGGTTTTTTTTTTTTTGAAAACTAAAATATCATAAGAAACTAACGTACACATAACGTAGACAATGTTCTAATCTTTGAGTTCAATAATAGACAAATACACACTGATGTTAAAACTAACAGGTTTTCGTTTATATAAAAAAAAAAAAAAAACTTATAAATATAGAAACATCAACCGATTTCACAACATTTACGTTGAACGTTTGATAATGTCGATTTTTCGTCCGATTATTTCGTGTCGTTATTTTTGAATATCACAGCGAATCGGTCAACTATCATATTTAAACATTAAAACGATCTCTGTGATTTGGTTTTAGTGACGATTTGTATCTCGCTTAAAAATTATAACATCAGCAAAACGCCGACGTACAAACACACAAATCGCTCTCATCTTTACATTCTGTAATTGGCCAAATCGCTCTAATAATCACAATTAAATGCATAAAATCGGTCCTGCTGAACGAAAAGAAAACATTATTCGATTTTCAACAATAGCCGTAACATATATATTATATTGTATTTACGATAAACAAAAATAAAAACACCCCTAAAGATATTGTATGATATTGATTCTGTTATTGTCCTCGGTAACAATTATCGGGTAAAACGTAACGGGGGAATCTATGTCACACGCAAAACACCGTGAAACTACGAGAGACTATAATGATAGGGGCTGGATTAAGGGGAGCGTTAGGGATACATTGGCCCCGGTTCACGAGATAAAGGAGACCTCGACTTTTTCCTTTTTTTTTTTTTATGTTTTCGGTTACCTAGTAAAAAAGTTCAGAATTTCTTTTTATCTGGTGCATTAAAAGATCCGGACGTTTCACCCTGCGGGACTTTATTTGACGGACTTACCAAAATATTCATAAATTCGTCCTCAGATTCTTTTTTTTTTTTTTTATGAATTACGAGCATCTCGTAACGGTACACTGATATAACATGATTATCGCGGTCAACACGAAAAATGTTTACTCAAAAAAAAAAAAAAAAAACCCTAAGAACCCTAAGAGTATATTATCCACCTTCCCTCCCGATCGTATTACGGCCGTAACCCGGTCCAGATAGTGATAACGTGAACTACAGCCCTTCTCGATTACAAATACCCTTTGTATTGAAATACAGTCTTCGAAAGCGTCTCGAGTTCGACCCGTCTTGCGAATGTGGCGAATTCATTGTCACAGTCAATGCAGTCTCCAGCCCATCACAGTGACGCGTTTCAAACGATTTTAGGCGGCGAGTGACGAAATTTTCTTCACCGGGACGACAATCCCTGGGGGGACGGAGTTTTCGCCACTTTAACCGACCGAGCCATCAAACGCGCGTTATCCGAGTATGGCGGTTTTCGTTAACGCGACAAGGTAAATGTACATGTATGTAATATTATACCTGAAACGTTCTCGTCGATCTGCGAACCTCCCGACACGCTCGTCATCTCCAACAGTCCCGCGGTATTCTCCACGTCTTCGTCAGTGGCCCCGTAATACTTGTTCAGACTGTGTTTCGACCCGGACGCCTTCATGACTTTGAAACGCTCCATGACGCCGTAACCGTTGTCGTCTTCTCGCGTCACACGCGCGCCCCTACTCACGAAAATACCGAGAGAAAACTAAACGGCCGAAATGTTCCGATCCGTCGAACGGCCGTTCGAAACCGCGGTACGAAAATAAATCTCGGATAAACGCGACGAGTTGTTCGTTTTAAAATTTTTTACCGACGCGACGCCGGGTCGTATACTTACCGTATGAAAAAAAAAAAACACCGCGTGTAAAAAAAAAAAAATTTAGCCGAGTAACGGTGGCCAAGAAAAACCGACTAAAATCACAAAATATTATATTGTCGCGCGAAAATAATTTTACGTCCGCTATAATTATTATATAATGACGTACGGTATCTGCGGGACGGACGGACGCGGACGAATATAATAACGGACGCGGCCACCAGGCACGGACGGCGGATAACGGACGACTGACGCGACGTACGGCCGATCGGCCAATGTCGAACGTGCTACACGCCAGCGGACACACACTGCCTGTGCCGACGGCGCGGTTTGTGTCAACGCGCGTGCGGCGCGGTCGGCGGTGACGATCGCGCGCTTTTTCCAACACCGTGTCGCGACACACGCCTGTCCGCAGAGACACGGAATCGCCGCCGCCGCCGCCGCCGGCCGCCCACCCGCCCGGAAAGGGTGATGGAAAGGGGGATAAACCGACGTAAGGGGGCAAGGCCTCCACCGCGCCGACGGCGCGGCGCGACGAGCCGGGGAGGAGACGACATAATAATAATAATAATAACAACAACAACACACGCGGCGATGTCTGTCTATGGCGGCGCTATCTGGCCGCCGCCTGCATCGCCGCACACCTTCCGACTTGCCGAATGCAACATCGCTTTCGTCCGAGCTCGCGTCGAGTTTACGACGCGTTCGGATGTCGGCACGGACGAGACGTGATTTTTTTTCGCGATCAAACGATTGCGAACGACCGAAACGTCCGTGTTGGCGTTATCTATTAGCCGAGGAGTAATTTTTCCTGAAATATAACAGCGTAAAAACAAACGCACAACAATCGGTTTCGATACCGACGAAATCGTGAAATTGAAAACATTCGAACGCCATCGTTGCAGCCGTCCCGATCGGTTTTGGCGGGAATTGTTTTTTGTTATTGATTCTGCAGAGCCCGCTTTAAAAACGAGTGATTTCGACCGGAAGTCGACTGGCGGCTTGTTATACGACGTATTCGGTGTATCGTAAAGGTCGCCGTTTAATATTATCCTATAATAACGGTGAAAAACCTAGGGGGACCGTAAATATATATGTACACGCAACTCCGTCGGTTTGGTCAACATCAATTTCGCGTTTGTGTTTCACGTGAATCCAGAAATATTTTGGCTATTTTTTCAATTATTTATAACTGATTGAAAATAGCCCCGGAAAAAACGCACAGAAATTTGTATGCTCGATTCAGTAAGGACGCCTTACTATAATCAGAAAAAAAGGCGCACGTAATGTGACGATTTTTTTTTTTTTTAATAAATATTGCAATTTCAAATTTTGACGAAAACCGAATAAGCCGACGGTCAGAACGCAATAGAGTATTTCGGTAATCAATTTTTTTTTCTCGTCACGTAACTAAACGGCATAAACAATACGATAGTAAATCGATTAATCCAGCTTAAATATCGATGCAATTTATTTATTTACTAACAATCGACAATAATCTGTGTGTTCTCCTTGAAAAGAAACGTCCTTTAGACGTGTTTTCAGTCACACGTCGAGAAATTGTGACTGAAAACGTTCGGGTGTAAGCGACATTTGTATTGGATTTACGCGGCTTTATTATAGTTGCCGGTCCTCCTTAGCATTTTTTTTTTTTTATTTCGATTATTATTGTACATTATTCTTTTTGGTTTTCGTTAGGTTTTTGTACAGTGTATACAAAAAAGACCCCCTTTCGGCAACGGGATATAGCGTATCCGTACCTATCTAGACATCCCCTCCCACGTCTTTAATAATTGAACACCAGTCCACCACCCGGCCATTGAGTTGCATGTGTATACAGCGTGTTTATTTTTTTTTTTTTTTATCGTGAACCAACGTTTGTCTACACAAAAATTTTGAGCGAATCTATTTTGGTTTTTAAAATCTCTTGAAAACCGTATTTACGGCATTTTCAACGTCTTTTATCCGTATTTCCGTGGTACGCCTTACCACATAATATTCGAGTTTGATTTTCGATTAGCGAGCAGTTTTGAAAAGATAATATTTGTCTAGGAATATTTGATGTGATGCACAATGCTATAATATAATAAAATCAGATCTACCATCACGTATTATACGATTTTTAATATTTTGAACTTTAATCCGGATCAGCAAGTCGTATTGAATATGTGACATAAAAACGAATATTTCTCCGGCCGGACCAGGTTTACGTCAATTACGACGGCTATCCGCCGCCCTTTAATGAGAAGGGACCGTTTCTTTTTCGCGTGGCACCTCAGGGATGTCGCCGTTTGAAAACACTCGAGATTCAATGTTCACTTAACGTAAAACGGTAAAACAATAGGTAACATCGGCGGGGGTAACAAACCGTTAAACCAAAACGTATTTATTATAATAACGATCGAGAGAAAAAAAAATCATCCGTAATCTCCGATTACAGAAAAAATATCGACGGGTCGCCATTGACGAAACGGAGCAATATAATCGCCCTGTATACATTATACATTGCACGTAGGCGGCATACACACTGATAATGCGCGTTGTTTGTGTTTATACAGAAACAATAATAAACTGTGATATGACTGGAACGCGTTCGTTACAACATTGTCACGGTGGCGGATCGGTCCGGAACGGGGTACGCGTACCTGCGCACGATAATAACAGCCGCGCATTGTGGCGTACGACGCGCACGCTGTATTCCCGCGGGAATCGAGGAATTATTATATATATATACTTATTATACTTGTACGGAATAAGGAGTCTTTCTGCGTGATAACGTCTACCGACGATTCCCGGTCTGAAATACCAATAACACGCCGGTTACGTACACGGTGCTGAGTAAATAGTCTGCTAATTTATTCGTATACCAGACATTATTCGCCGCGTGCACACGTATATAATAATTCCTGATCTCGCGAATATAATATAACTCGAGCCGAGCGTAATGTTCGCACGCGATCGAGTACAATATAATGCATTAATGCAGTTTTGAAAGCATTAAAACACGTCCGCTATTATTATTATTGGGTATTATTTATTATCAATAGTCGTGCGCATATTGTAGCACTGCGCATAACGCACAACGCTGCACGATGTATTAAACTGGACGAAACTGATTTGTTTTTTTTTTTTTCGTATAGTCCACAGCGACTGTGTGCATATAATAAACAGATAGGTACGATATTTTCAGGATAAAAATTCGGTCTTGTAGGTTTTTTTTATAGTTTAATTGGAGCTGGGAATTCGCAGCGTTTGCATTTTTTCGCGTGGGGCTCTAACACATAGTACCGCTATTAACAGAAAAAACATGTCATTTATACATCACATAGTTTAATGATACAATCTGACGTTGTATTTTTTTATTTTTGATATTTTCTTACGGTTTTCAAGAATAATAACGCATGTTGTTGGTTATTATCGCGTCATTTTCCTAGCACTCGATAATCACATTGCAGGTAAGAAAAAAAATAATAAAATCAAACCGTACGATAAAATAGAATCGCTCTGTATTTATATGTTTAATACATACCTATTACCTCTATGCCACCATTGATTTAATAATATTATACACCGAAGGGTGTATCGTAACATAAAATCAATGTTGTAGGACTGGTGATGATGTAACTGTGTATAATATATATATTTACACTAAAAAATTAATGATGGTTTTTTTTTTTTTTCAATTTTCGAATGGTTTCTTATAACACCGTGATATCCAATTAAGACACACACACGTGAAAACAGTAACAATATATTGTGTTGGCCTAACTACTTAATTTCGTCACTGTGGTAGGTGTTAAGTTCCGGAAGTTATAGAATATTATATAGGAAAACGTAGTTGATGTACGGAAACCAACGATAAATCACTGCAATCAAAAAACGATTCCAAGCTCAGTAAAGCTGGTAATGTTATTTCCCCTGTAGCCAAAGTAACCCAGAAATCGAAAAAAATATAAAATCGAAGTAACGTAATTTGCTTTTTTCAGAAAAATGTTTGAAATTTAGAACAAAATTTCGAATAGAGTATAACCATCGGATGAAAAATTCGCAGCTTATTCTTAAGCATGAAAATAATTCTTTTGGCAACCGAAAATTAGTTTTCCGAGTATAAAAACCACACTTGATAGTAAAACTAATAGGTACCTATTTCGCTGCAGGCAAAATCTAAAATAGTATCAATATTCGTTTATTTCATTGAAATCGTGCTCGATTTTTATTTCGTATAACGAAGACGATTCCGTGCGCAGTTCGGTAACACATAATTTGTATGTGATTTTTGTTTAAATTTGATTTCAAAACGTTTATTAAAAAACAATGTCGTTCGATAATTATGATTTTGGAAATTTTATCACGTCTAGGTGAGTCCAATATAAGTATTATTACTAAGTTTCAAGTCTGTACGTGTATTTCTTACCGAATATCAGCAAAAAATTCTCAAAGTTAAAATTTCTCAAAAGCTTGTTACTATACTACGTAAAATATTACGGCGTTTTTTTCCTGTGAATCACTTTTTTAGTAACAATTTTTCTCTTACTTGCAATGATAGCACTTTTTCTGAAAGGATATATGACTGAGGTGGTACTTTAGCAAGGTCATTTTTTGATTTTTCAAGCGGTTTTCATAATATCTGGGAGAAACATCAAAAAACAAGAAAATAGTAATAATATTAAACAAATATTATGAAAGAAAATGTTTAAGGCATATGTAATTATTTTACCATAATATTACATTTATAATATATATTGTTGACATAGCAACACTATCAACCAAACTCCACTCAAAATAGATTTTTTGTTAGCAATGGTTAATCGTTGCGCACA